GTACATGACCACATGCTCATTAGAACCGTGGCTGTTGATGTATATGCAGAGTTGGTTCCTTTCCTGACAATGGATTCAATGATAATTTTGTTTTGCAGTAGAGACTGATTATTTTCCTATAATTGATTTAGATGCTGACAAAACATGTTTTAAACTTGGCTGTATTTTTTTTTCAACTCTAGACTGCTCCAACTTGCTTGGGACTAAAAGGCTTTGTTGTTATTGGTAAAGTTGTATACTTAACATCCTCAAATTCCGTTGCAGGATTTCAGGCTCTTGAGGAGCAATACTATAACTCATGGCTTCATAGGTATGGACTATTATCTCAATATATACATGTTCATTGGACCTTATTATGAAAATTTGCCCTGAACTACATTTACTACCACTTGGATTTTAAGTGTTCATTGTAAATATCGGAAGACAGTGCTTGCAAGTTAATATGGTCTATCCTTGGTATGTGCCACTATATGTGAAAGAGACTTGCACTTTTCATTGTTATTATGTAGTGGCCAGAGAGTTGTACAAGATGCACATGAAACCAAGTCAGGCAATGTCGTCACTATCTAGGTTAGCACAAAACAGAACTGTTATGATTGAATTGATATTTCCACTTACCTAATGGTTCTAATCCTTTCCAGGGGTTAACACCAACTGGTTACTTATACGCTATTGGCGAGGATAACAAAAGCTATGAGTTGCACCCAGATGGCAACAGGTATTGCCCATTACTATGTGTCGGTGCAGAAAGTGACCAACAAGTAAATATTTGTAGTTTTGCCGTACGTTGTGATCGGAGGTGGCCTAGCACTCAATGACACAAAGGTTTATACTGGTTCAGACAACGTGCCCTATGTCCAGTTTGAGTCGATCGGTGATTTTATTCCTGAGCCCAGGTGCTCGAAGTTTGCAGTGGGGTTACAAACGAGAAGGAGAAAGATGGGAGGTACAGGAGGTCCGGTTGGAAGGGCCGAGAGCAACGGGAGCCCGGCTATGAGCTAAGTATACGAGCGTGTGCTCGTGGTTTGAACCTGATGGTTCCGTTGTTGTGTGCTAGTGAACTTGATCGATCTAATGAATCTGAGTCTGAATCAACCTATCTGTTGGGAGAGAGCGCATCCCCTTTTATAGATGAAGGGGATGACCTTACAAGTGAGAGGGAGGGAGTATGTTCGCTGCTAAGTCTTGCTGCCCATGCCGACGGGTACAAGACGATGGTAGGCGCCTACAATATTGTTGAGTGTCAGATGTATGTAGGAGGTTGCGTCGTCTTCTTTAGGTATGACAGATGTCGGTATATGCTATACTGTTGATGCCCAGAGGCATGTGAGGGGTTTTACCATATTCGCCCGGTACGGTAAATGCCGGCGCTCACAACACTGTTGTTGCCTAGAGGCATGTGGGGGGAGCCTTACCGTATAGGAGTTAATGGTGCCTACAATACTGTAGGGGAAAATGTCGGCGCCTACAATACTGTTTGGGTTCTGTCGTGCCAGGGAGGTTCCATAGTACTATTTCTGCAGGTGTACAGGATACGGTCCCCAGTATTGCGGTTTGACTTGTGCGCCCTGCCTTACTTTCTCCGTCCGTTTCCTGGTCCTTACCGAGCGGGCGTCCCTGGTCGGTGGGTCCCAGTTGGCTCTGATCTCGCTAGTCGGAGGAGAGCAGTGAGCAGGGGTTCGGCGCACCCCCGGTCGGAGACGCGGGTCGGAGTCGGAAGTGGTGTTTGGCCAAGCCTTCCGGTCGGAGAGGCCGTCCGGAGACGGGCTGGAGACCGAAGCGAGCGCTTCGGTCGGAGAGGCGGGCCGGAGTCGGAAGCGGGCGTCGTTCCTCCTCGGCCAGGCCTTCCAGTCGGTGATTGGATCGTCCTTCTAGCCTATCGTTCAGGTACTTGGGCCGGCCCATGAGTTGCACGTTTGTTTGCAACGTCGTCCGCTGGGCCGAGCCTTTGTTGGAAAGCCGGTCCGCGAGGGACCCCGGGTTTATGAACCCGACACTATGTTTTTCCATCCATCAATAAGATCTTTGTTCTATATATCATTACTCAGTATAAAGGACGTACCCAGTGCAGAGAGCTCCCGCTCTGTGCGGGGTCTGGAGAAGGATGTCAGTGGCAAGCCTTACCCTTGCCTGTGCAATACGAGGAGACCGCGACTCGAACCCGGGACCTTCCGGTCACAGGCGGTAAGACTCTACCGCTTGTACCAAGCCCGCCCTTCATATCATTACTCAGTATGTGTACCATATTTTGTATGCTTCTCATCCTATATACGTCCTCAACATGTAATAGTTTGTTCTATCACGAACTATAGCATTTGACATAGTACCATTTGTTTGCAGCTTTGATTTCTTCACTGGATTGGTGAGGAGAAAGATGGAAACTTACGGTATCAATACAATTGGATACATGGATAGGTTCAAACTGTAAAAATGAACGGAGGCATTTAAGAATGGAATGAGAACATGATTTAAGCATCAGCCCCTCCATCTGTGTCCAAACCTTGTTCTTGGAATAAATAGAAGGAACGCTCTTATAGTCTTATGACAGTTCTGAACTGCTGCTTTGAGATGTCAAACAGTAACAAGTGCCCCACCCTTGCACTTCCATTTGTGGCGGCTCCCCAGAAACAATTAAGGAGACGATCAACCAAGACTGAAGCACGGGCATGAGTTCAAATTTCTGGTGAAGAAATCGCAATGACTGAAAACCCTTTCATATGAAGAATGCATGAAAATTATGAAGCACATCTGCTCTGCTGCTAGGCACATAGCTTCTTCGGCAGTGTTTGGGCCTCATATATTTGCATCAGGTTCTGTATAACTGTGAGATTGTAATAGGTTTTTTTTTTTGTCTTAGTGAACTGAGTTGAAAATCTGCAAGATTTATAGCTGTTATGAATGAGTTGGAAAGCTGCATTTGCGTAGAGCTTAACTGAAAGGCCATGACAACATTATTCATGCTGTTGTTGGTGCTGTCGTATGCATATCTCTGCCATATTATGCATCATCGCGTGTGTTCTGTGGGCAAGGCGGCCGGATACCGTGATTACACAAACATGGGCACGCAGTTCGCTCTCGCAGCATGGATCCGAAGCAAACAAACCAATTCTATATTTATATATAATTCCTATTAGGCGTGGCTGCCTCACGATTCCAAATCAGCTCGTCTGCTCCGCCCGTCGGCCTCTCTCGCTGCTCCCCTTCCTCTCCCGCAGGAATCCGAATCAATAAGGTCAGCTCCAATCTTAGCCTTGATGGCAGCTTGCTGCCGCCGAGAAGCTGATTCGTTCGCCCTCTTTTTCTTCTTGTTGGAGGTTATCCTCTAGCTTGGGAATCTCACCTGCAAGCTTCGTTTGTTTAGCTAATCCAGTCCGGCGACCTAGGTCTCTCAGCTTGCCCGCTGGTCAGTAATGGCGCAGGATGATCCGGTTGTTTCTGCTCAGTGGCTGCAAGAGCACCTAGGAATGCCTGATGTTAAGGTAGAGAGAGAGAGAGAGAGAGAGAGAGAGAGAGAGAGAAGTCATCTAGTTTGCATGTTCATATTCAGTTCTGAGATACTTTAATAATGCTTCCTTCATCAAAAAAGGAAGTTCAGAGATACTTCTTCTATCCCCTGCGTTAGTGGTATGTGGAGAACATAACAGTGTGATTGTCTGTCAATTTGGTCTTACTTCCTTTTGTGTATTGTGTTCTTATTACTCCCAGAAAGAATCAGAGGGTTAGGGACATATGTGCTTGCTGCTTTGTGACAGTTATCAACTTGTTTTAGGTTTTGGAATTTGGATGCTTCCTGGTACATGCCAGTAGAGAACAGGGATCCATGGGAAGAATATCAGGTTTTCAGCATCAGCTGTAACGTGTCTCATCTTCCTTTTTGAGATAATTGTTGGAGGCTTGGAGCTAAAGTGTTCTGATTATCTTCAGGTGGCACATATCCCTGGTGCGCTATTCTTCGACTTAGATGGCATAGTTGATCGGACAACTGATGTGAGAAATGTTTCTGGATATACTTTGCATCCTCATTTTTTTCCATTATTTTAGTTGAAGTAGATAAGCAGCAACGATTTCCTAGGGTTGTGGTGGTTCATACAGCTTTCTGCAAATCTCATGTACTTAGATTTTGCCACCAACTGGAGACTTATTAAGTTCGCACAAGATAGTAGTAATATATGGCTTGGCTTTTTTTTTTCCTAAAGCATAATATGTTTACCTATGCTATTGTTTCAGTTACCACACATGCTACCATCAGAAGAGGCTTTTGCAGCAGCAATTTCTTAGCTGGATATAAAAAACCAGGATAAAGTTATTGTTTATGATGGAAAGGGATTCTTCAGTGCACCTCGTGTTTGGTGGTAAGCTGAAGTCTGTATCCGGTATCCACTTCATCAAAATGATGAAACCAGTAGAAACTTGCTATTCAGTTGTGTTGTTGATATAAAAAGTAATCAAAATTAATGACGATCTTATCAAGGACACTATTTTCTTTGTTATAAGAGTGATCTGATTGTTTTATTTAACTAACATTATTTCCTTCACGATGTTTAGAGTGTTTGGACACAAGAAAGTCTGGGTATTAGACGGTGGTTTACCTCAGTGGTGAGCTTCTGGGTTCAATGTGGAAAATGTCAGCCCTGATGATGCAGTTCTGAAATCAAATGCTGCAAATAAGGCTGTCGAAAGGGTTTATAATGGTGAGCAGGTGAGCTAAAATGATGTTTTCCATATTATACTAAGCATTCTTTTTTTTCTTATTGGATAATTACTTTTTTTTTGTCTGTGCAGACAAATACAATCACATTTCAGACTGAATTTCAGCCTAATCTATTCTGGACACTGGAAAAGGCCAGTAACCTTTTTTACCTGAACGTACTAGCCTTGCATGCATAGACTGAAATATGTATCAGTCTGGTCATATGAACCCTTTTGCTTTCTTTAATTTTACCTTGATGCCCCAAAAATTTGGTGGACCTCCATATATTTGATCAACTCGGAAGTAATAGGATCAACTCCGAATTCCGTAAATACGGTTAACTCAAAAAGGAGCTATGAAGATTAATGTTATCCCCATGCAAATTGAGCTGTTTGATTCATGCAACAGGTTGCAACATAATGTCACTGCTAAGACTTACCAACAAATAGATGCCAGAGCAAAGGGCCGGTAACATCTCACTCTTTAGTTACACGGACTGTAGCAGCACTTATAGAAGTTCTGATGGTAACTGAATATGATTTGCAACTTGCAAGTACAAACTTAGGTTAGTAAACACAGCGCTCCAGTTTCAAGCAAGACTCTGCCCTCACTCTGAATTCAAAGGAATTACATTAAACTGTTAGATGTACAAATGAAAATATATTTCACCATTTGTGAACCTGCTACTCAAACTAATTGTTAAAAAGATGCATTATATGCATTGGCAGCTGATGGCATTTTTTTGTTATTGATTCTCTTCCTAAGTTGCCTGGTTTCTTCTTGTTCTGAAGAAAATTGCGCACATTCAAATTCACAGATTTGATGGTGTAGCACCAGAACCACGGAAAGGGGTAAGAAGTGCACATATACCAGGAAGCATCTGTGTTCCATTCCCTGAGGTTGGTATGATTCAAAGATTCAGTACATCACATGATACTTGGTCACTTGGATAACCACCAATTGCTAAGAAATGATGATGTTTGACTTCATCCCAGATGTTCGATGGTGCACCAAGCCTTCTCTCTGCAGATGAGCTGCGGCAAAAGTTTCAGCAAGCAGGTCTCTATTCTGCTGCAACTCATTTAATAATCTGAAACAAGTATTTTTGTTGTGTTCTTGGCAAGAAAGAAAGCAACAATTTTTTCTTAAGTACAAATATGAGAAGCAGAGCAAGAGAACACTGATAATTTAACATTTCAGATCTTTTAGAAATTGAGTATTTCTTAGGGATATATTATACATGTACAGAAATCCTGAAAAGTTTGCCAAGCAATAACAATATGGTGTATTTGGTGTTTCTTCAGGAATTTCCCTAGACCAACCCATTGCTGTCACTTGCGGATCTGGCGTGACTGCCTGCATAGTTGCTCTGGTCTGGAATCTTCCCAGATCATCTTGGATTTACCACGCACTAGCAAAGCAATCCCTAATAATATCTCTTTTTACAGGGGCTCTACAGGATTGGAAAGCATGATGTTCCAGTTTATGATGGATCTTGGACAGAATGGGAGGCACAATCAGATTCAGATTACCCAAAAGTTACCGCTCCTGCTTGTTAAACTCACAAGCTCTGAAAAGATTAATACAGTTTGAGCATCTTGGACCATTCAGTTTAGATTGTCAGCAAGATGACATTATGTTGTAACAAGCTTTGCACTACAACAACAACAACAACAACATAGCATTTCAGTCCCAAACAAGTTGGGGTAGGCTAGAGTTAAAACCCACCAAAAGTTCCAAGTCACGGTTCAAGCACTTCAATAGCTGCTTTCCAAGTATTACTTGTAAGGAAAATGGACCCTTAGGCCCACTTACTTTGGATTTTGATGTTTGATGACCAACACAACTAAATTGGACTAATGGATTTGCAAGTAATTGTTTTGTAGTTCAATAGGATGCAAAACGTAACTTGGACGAAGGCGACGTGATGATCCGATGATCAACACCTCAAGAAAGACATGTGAAGATGCATAGAAGACATACAAGGTCAAGCAAAGTTCAAGCACGAAAATTGAAATCAAGCCGGACGCAAGATCGCGAAGAAACGAGCCCGACAGAGGTGACCGGACGTGGCCCTATGAGTGACCGGACGCTCCGATCAAGTGCCAGGCAACACCAGCGCCGGTAGCTGTGACCGGACGCTGAGCAGCAGTGACCGGACGCACCGATGACACTGTTCATCGTCACGTCAGTGTTTTCAGCGTGACCGGACGCAACAGACTAGACGACCTCCATGGAATATTTGTTTTTCTCTTTCTTCTTTTCAAGTTGGAGCATTTGATCCATCTTTTGGCCACCTCCATCTCCATGAGTGCCATCATCTAGCTCCACACCTTGAAGTGTACCAACCTATCTTAGTTTCACTTAGAGCCAAATGTTAGTACAATTAGGTTTCATCAATTATCCAAAATCAAATTAGGGCTTTCAGTTGGGCTAGGCGTGGTGCCTATTAGCGCGTGAACCACCAAGTTAACCGGCCGTCACGACGAGGACGTAACTTGCTGGCAAGCAAGTGAACCTCGAGATAAATCTTGGTGTCATCTTTGGTATTCATTGTGATTGCTTTATCTCTTGCCAGCTCGGTATCACACTCTACCTCTCTTGTATTTATATTTATATATATATATATATATATATCTTGTGTAGAGGTAGCCTATCTTGTTAGTGTGTAGCTCTCGTGTGTAGCCTAGAAGTAACTAGTTGTATTTATTATGCTAGCTAGTTCACTAGATAGCTAAGTAGTGACTTAGCCCCTTTGATTGATTTAGAGACTATAGTGACTAGCATTTTGGTAGGTGGCTTGCATCTTTTGTAGTGCTAGAGCAAAACACAATTATAGGCATTTAGTTGTCTAACTCTTTACTCGTGTTTTGTAGAAATTTTTATTAGGCTATTCATCCCCTCTGGCCATTTAGGACCTTTCAAGATGCCTCTCAAGTATAGTAGGGGGTGAGGGGTTCGGTGGCTGAGACATGGGTGAACAGCTACGAAACCACTAGTTTTTCAGGCGTTTCCACCAGGACTGCTCCACCGGACTTTGGACACCCTCAAGGCCTCTGTGACCGGCTGACAGCCTACCGTGGCCAGTTTCGGCGGGTTGCAGCTGGCTGACTGGCCGCCATGGCTGGCCAGCGTGTGGTCATGAGCGGCTTCGGCCGGCCAGACGCCTCGCTTGGTGGTCGCATGCCTCTTGCCCGTTGTTGGATTAGTTTTGGTAACTCACGGCCTCCCTGGTATTGATCGACATCGACTATAGCTATTGTGATGCTGTAATTAGGGAAAGAAAAGGAAGATGAGAGAGACAATAATATGTTTATTCCAAGGTATTGATCGACATCGACTATAGCTATAGAGATTTCATGTTGATAGATGCAACGTGGGCGCATGGAACAGATAAAAACAAAAAAAAAGACTATTAACAAAGAATATTTTCAAGTAAGGTAAAATCTAAATGTTATAGTAAAAAATCTAGCTACCTGTGTAGACCACTTAACTGATTTTTAAACCAGTCTACAGCTGTGTATACTATAGAAAAGGGTAAATTGGTAATAAAAATTATATCTGCTTTAAGCTGTCCTGGCTGTGAGATAATAACATGCTCTGCACAGAATCTATTTTGCAATGTGATAGTCCACATCTAGCTCTCACTTGGAAAACTTTGCAGCGTCCTATGTCTGATTGAACAACAGGACAAAGGGAAGCAGCAAGCACAAACCAAGTATCTGAACTTCGCAGTGCTGAAAAATGGAGAAGTGATATCGCGTGTATATAAGCTCCGAAGCTTCTAGCTTGGCTGGGCCAGGGATGCCTGCATTGGCGCGAGCAGCGATGTTGGTGAGGTTGCTGTAGTGGGGGACAAGCATGAAGGTAGTCTCCTTGACGCCGATGGCGTTGATGCTCTTGGTGATAGATCCACCATCTCCAAAGCCTGCATCCTGAGCTCCATTGGGTAGTCCTTGACACATCCAATTCTTGGACCAACCCCAGTGCTCCAGTTAAGGGACAGTCTGTGCCCAAGCTGATAGGACTTGAACTCACCCTTGGATTTCATCCTCTCAAGAATTGCCTTCTGTGGGACGCCAGTGGCTCTGGGGCTTTGCAGACCGCCTGATAAGGTTCTTTGGTATGTTGGCTTGGCTTGTTCTGCAGGAGCGTTCTCTGCTTCGTCACCTTCTGAGGTGTTTAGAGGGAGAACCACTTGTGGGAAATTTGGTTCTATGATAGCAGAAGTGAAGTTCTCTGAGTCATTAGGCACTGGATCTTCATTGTAGTCTTCTTTGGTAGATGAGCGTACCTGACCCCAAAAATAAGTTCTATGAAACCATCTAACATTTGGTGGCAGAAGCATATTATGTTTTGGTTGTGAATGGTTAAGAGTGTACCTCCACGTCCTTGAGGTCAACTCCATTTTCTTCAAGGAAGTTCATGAAATTGCCGAGGTTCTCTGCGGTTGGTTTGTAGTGACCACTGTACGCCCAGATGGACTTTATCGAGAACAGATAAACATAGATTAGCAGAATTCACCCAATGAAAAGGTATACTAACAAGATGTAATAAAAGTATAAAAATGGAATTACTATATGCTGATAGAAGGACATAACATAATCCTCGGTTTAGAGTTGACATTAACTTGCACAGTGGACAGTGGTTGAACCAAGATAAGTAGATAATCTGATGTGTACTAGACAGAAGTAAATTCAGGAACTATATATTTTCCATTATAATACATGGAGTTTAATTTTCTGGTTTATATTCCATATTTGCCCTTCATAAATGGATTGCCAAAATGGTTATTCATGGGTAGTCCATGAAACAGGCAGGACGAAGCTGCACAAATGGATATGGTATGGAGACCAAGTCACACAGTGAATAATCAACTCTATCCTAGACACAAACATAACTTTTTGGTCAAAAGTGCACGATTGAAGAATATAACAAGCATGAATACTAGGAAAGTAAAATACTGTGCTAAACAAAACTAACAATCCAACAGGCAGTGGCTGCTAAAGCAAAATACCTTGATAACTCCGTCCTCTGCAGTAAATCTTCCTGCAGCTATGGTTGTACCTCCTGCCAAAAAGCTGGAGTGCTGGAATACACCCCTCTCTTTCTGATGGATACGTAGAAATTGATTTAGCAGCACTGAAGTATCAAAATGTGACAAAGGTCCCTTCAGAGTAAAAAAGTTACCTTGCCAGCATATAGTCTTTTTGCTGTGCTCATAACGAAAATCCATTTAGTCCCTTTAGGACCCCTGCTCGTATCGAGTGGTTCTCCAGACTGTTTATGAATAATCTTTCCCTCATTAATGATGTATTCATAGTGCTCACGCTCTTGCTGCAAAACATCAAACAGATGTTAGAGCGCTGAAATGTGGTAGGTTTAGTAGCTTTGAACTTCTTTCTCATATTCAAGGGCGAGCCTGCTTGCTGCAGCATGAGAAATGACCCACCTCTGGCACTAGTCCCTCCCAGGAAATGAGCTTATTGTTAGTGATGCCTGGTGTTTAGCTCTAGTTCTAAATATGTAATTGTAATTCCCCACTGTAATTTTTCTGACAAACCATCCTTGAAACCTTGGTCAGTAGTAACTCTTTTTGAGCGGTACTGTTTGGTACCCACTCCTATGCAATGAAAATCAGGTGGGGAAAGTATCCTGTCCCCTCCGTTGAACCGTAATAAAAATGAAGTTTGCTAAAATGAATCCATTTTCCTGTTCTTAACTGTGATGTGGGGGCGCCAATATGAACGGCACCCCAGGGCTAGGGATGTGGCCAGAAGGGCCAGAGCGGCATCCAAGGAGACCCCAGCTGTAATCAGTAGCAATTAAGTATTATGGGGAAGGGATTAGAGTAATGAGAGAATGATTAATGGGGAGAGAAACGAGGAGACTAGAGCTGGGCGCCTGTGGCTGGGCTGCTCTATATATAGACTGTGTAATCAGCTTATGAGAATCAATCAAGAAACAAGTTATCTCCTAATCTACCTTTGCTGCCCCTAATCTCACCCCCTTCACCATAGGCGTCCAGGGAAGAATCCCAGCGCCAGTACCCAACCTACTTACGAACTCCGGAGTCGGGGACCTGCTGTCTTGGGCACCAGCGCCCTTGACATTAACTACCTATAACATTGCGGTACTGCGGTGTCAATTGTATTTGTATCAATTGTCCGGATTCATGAGCAAAGGAAATAATAATGTGAATGATATCAGGCCAGGGCATGACTGGATCCCTGTACAAGTTTTAGATGAACAATAATTCTGATTTGAGGCTATGTCAAATTAAGTTCATAAACGCAGCAATTTGATAGACTATCAGTAAAATTTCTACAGTAAAAGGTAGTGAGCATTTTTTTTAGAGAAGATATTGATAGTTAATAACAAAACAAAAGCTTCGTGAAACTGGCACAATATTTTGTGGATGAAGTTAGTCAAATCATCGTACATCCTTTCGCAGACATATTCAGCAAGGATATACATCACAAGTTCTTAATAAAGATACACAGCCATGGTGGAATGTGTCTTACCGGACCAAGATACCTTATGCATTGCTTTTTCAGCAAAGCTCTTGGACACTCTGGAAGGTCTATATCCTTTCCCTCTCCAACATCAAGCCTACAAACGCAGAGCTCACTTAAATTGTCATGCAATCAAACTGATAATTGAAATTTCTATTATGAACAGGCATTCCAATTATAACTGAGATTTCTGGTATGAATAGACATTTGAATATGTACTTCTCTTTCAGATCTGTTATGTAGGTTGCACTACCTCGTCTGAATAAAAAGAATTTGCAAGCGTATGGATGCAAATCGTAGCGAAGTTCTCACCAGTAAAAGAAGGGCTGTCCGGCCTGACTTTGGCACCAGACATCATAGTAGAAGTGCAGGTTGTGGCCATACCTATGCCGTGGATCAATCTATACAATACAACAACATATGAACACAGTAGTTATGACAGCTGCATTGGATCAGTCTTGCAAAAAAAAAAAAACTTCATCACTCTATTTCCTCTCAATGAAAAACATGTAATGGCACGGTCCGAAAAAAAAAAATACTCCATCACTACTCTATAAAGAGATGGAAGAAAATCCCATGACGCCAATCAGTGGACCTTTTTTATGATCAATGTTCACACATGACAAAAAGCTGAAGTCAACATACTGAAAAGCAGGTTCTTTTCATACAAAACACAACACCTAATCTAAAGATACTAGTAGTGGATTTTGTACTCACAGCCTCGATCCAGTGCTGGAAAGCCAGCTTGAGAGCCTTGCCGTCTCTGGATAAACCCTGACCCACCTGTGGCAAGTTGCAAGCAAGCAGACATGAGAAGCCCATACCTATGATGAGAAGCCTGATGCATGAGAAGGAGTCGGTTTGTGGGATGGGAGGACCTTGGATGCGTTGAGGCCGACGCGGTTCCAGCGCGAGGCGGCCGTCTCCGGCTTGGGCTCGTCGAAGAAGGAGACGGTGCTGTGGCTGAGCCGCGCGAAGTCCAGGGCTTGCCACCTGCATCATATCATTGATCGAAATCACAAACCTTCAGTCTCAATCAAAGCTCTCTTTCCCCGAAACGAGGAGGCTGGACTGATGTCAACATCAGTAACCATGAACAAGAACAAAATTCGGCACCGTAACCGTTTCGTGGATTTTCTTGGAAGGAAACCAACTCGCGGAGCTGGTGTACAGTACAGTGCAGTGCAGTGCAGAGAGGATCAAGATTGAAGAAGAAGCAAAGGTGTGTGTTGTGACAACAAAAGGGGCAACTTTTTATTATTTATTTTCTTTAATATAAGAAGAAGTAAATGGGGGACAATCTTGTTTGCCCATGCCAATCGAACCCGGACGCAGGCAGGGGGAAGAAACTAAATAAATCACAGGCTGACAGGCAGGAAGGCAGGAAGGAAGGCGGTGGAAAAGGGTACCATACCAGAGCTCCTCGACGACGACGGCGGAGTCGGCGAGCTTCCGGCGGGTCCGGTAGCTGCGGTAGACCTTCTGCAGCTTGGTGGCCGCGCCATTCTCGCCGGCGCCGGTTCCCTCCACGGATTCCAGCCTATCCGTCTCCACCACCTCCATTCGTTTCGAGATTTAGGAGCGAGCGAGTATCCCAGTCGAAAGCAGCGAACTTGGACCGAGCAATCAGTTGTTGGAGTTAAGTGAGGAACGGAGGAGAGAAACGGCCCTGCAGTGTGCGCTTGTGCAGAAGTTGTCACGGAGGAGCTGAGCAGAGCAGAGCATGCGGGAATAATTTAGCAGTAGTACAGTACGTACTACTCTACAATTTAATCTTTAACTACCACCGTATAATAGTACAGTTTGACTGCATGCAGCCCCAGTGGCCCCGATGAACTGGACTGGACACTTAGCTTCAGAATCACGTTGACGCCGCATGGTTTCGCGCGAGTTTAGTTGTCTAAGAGTTTACGTTAGGTGTCTCGTCGTTTGCTAACGGATTTTATAATTTTTTTTTATAGTATCTGAACATCTCATATAATACCTCTATATAACATTCGAGACATCCTAAAACTTTACGCCCTAGATTTAAACGAGGTTTAAACAATTAGTTTAGCCACGTTTTCGATCAACTACTACAGCTGGGACCTGAGAGTTTGGACTTTGGATACACTAGGCACTAGCTAATGTCCATTGTCCATGTCGTACGTACGTGTACCTGCTCTCTCCTCTTGTCCCCAGGGAATAGGTAGTGTCCATTGTCCCAAGTCAGTCCAAGCTATCGACATGAGCTGGTCTAGGACGAAGCAACTCTACGCTAGCTTTTTCTATCACCATCTATTTCCGTACTTATTTTTATTCTCTCTCACCTAAATACGATGGCACGAGCTGCACGGAAGAAGCAAAGCAGCCAAGCACCCTCGTCGCCTCGCATGTGTCTGCAACACTGCAGCTGCGTCGAAAGACACTGCGCACCGGTTTTTTCAGTTCAGTTGCGATCTAATCTATCGGATCGCAGAATCAATTCACTGGGTCCACTGCACGTACGTGACACGTCACAACTACCATTGCTGTCCAAAAAAAAAACTTAGCTACCATTGCTGTAAAAAAAAAAGAGGAAAAAAACTCAGCTACCATCGGTACGTTAGGCATCGGAGCTGTAGCGTCTATATCAAATGAATGGACCCGGTACCCTGCCACGTGTTCCTAAGCCAAATATGAACGCACGTGTACCCCACCAGAGCAGCTGCCTGTCCTTTCGAGTCTCGATCGATCCGTTTCGTTTGCACTTTGCAGGCAAACCAACGTCATAAAACATCACATCGTTAACTTCCTCCACTTTCTTCGGCCCGCCAACATGCCGTGCGTGATGGCGTTTCACCTTGCGCACGTCCCGTTACGGCGGCACCTTTTGTTGATTAGTACAGTATTCGTACTAACACAACGGCGGTATTTTAGGAATACACATGAAAACTAAATGAGCGATAGAAATACAATATTATTATATATAAAAAATTAAGTGTACACAAAGTATAAACTCACATCATCCCCTGATCAAGTTTTCAGAAAAATATATTATCATATAAAAATCTGAATATATATAGTGTAAGCCTCTATCAAACAGGGAAGCTTTTCATACCAATCTCTTCAGCTTTCTGAAGCTTTTCATTAATCATGTCTTGAGAATGAAGCTCTGTTCTTGCTAAAAGCATCAAGCAAGAGAGTAGCAAAAAAAGAAAAAAAAATACCACATCAAAACTAAAACATTTACTTCTATCTTTTTTTTTCTTGATATGTTTTGACAACTGCAATATGGCATCCGTCCGTCTGTGAACATTGACAATATAATCAAAACTGGACTTAATTGATATACAATGCACAGGCTGTAGAGACAAAAAAAAATGGGGATTTGAGATTGGGGAACTTAACTGTGAGACTAAAAATTGGTGTCATCCATGATTGTGCCCTTGATCCAGACCACTTAAGCCCACACACCTCATGACTGTGCCCCTCGTATGTCTGCACAACATGGTTCCTAATTCTCACGTCGTTGTTCACGATCTTGCCATCGATGCCGCCAGTGGTGAGGATGTTGTTGTTTCATGTCAGTGAGCCAACTCTTGCCTCATGCACACCTTTGAGAGTTCTCAACTGCAGGGAAAGAACGACCTGAATTCAACAACAGAGAACGTGCACGCATTTTTGGATGACCAAGGACACTGCACATACCAGTCAGTTGGAGCTGGTGTCCCAGAGCTGGACATCAGACGAGTTGAGCCCAACAACGATATGCTGGCCATCTGAAGCCCAGTTGACGCTTGTGATGGGACCGTTGTTATCATCGATGATCAAAAGCTCAGACGTGGACCCACTGGATGCATCCCACAGGTTTACCGTGTCACCCAGAGCAATGGACAGCAAGTTGTTGCTCCCTCAGTCGAGCAGGTTGAGGTATTAGTCGTCATCAACAAGCTCTGGTGCGTCTATTGTCCTCTCTACAGATTGCATACATTTCGAGCAGCATCAGAAATCGCCATCCAAGTGATGAACACGAAGAATTCAATAAATGCATATACCTGGGGAATATGTCACCGCTGCTTGGCCGGCTTGGTTCGACCAAAATCAAACCAAATCATCTGTATTTGTACAACAAAAACCCATAAAAAAATCAAATCTAGCAGCAGCCGTTCCAGGAGTTCATCAATCGACGTCTGCCACAGCGCAGTGATTTCCCCTTCGAGTAGACAGATCCATGAAACGGAGACAACAGCGTCTGCCGTACAAGCAGCATCAGATTTCCGATCTGAAGCTTCTTCTCCTCGTAATGGAGACACTAGAAGTTCTTCCTTTTCTCCACTTCCAAAGCTGAGAAAATTCACGCAAAAATCACAAAAGAATAGAGAAAGTAGCCTGAGCCAAAATAAGAAAAGAGCGTAACACAAATCGAACACACCTCAGGACACAGAAGGAGGATTCAACACCACTAACCCGAATAGATGGCATTCGTCCTGTCACGAATCCATCGGATCGGAGAAGCAGAGGCAGCTGCACCTAGTCGAATAGATGGCGACGACCGGTGGCGGCACAGAGGCGTTGAATAGCCCCCATGCGCCGATGCCGGAGAAGGGGAAGGGGGCGGCACCGTCGTCAATGCCCCGATTCGCAGCCGCTAGGGAAAGAGAAGGGCGCCGTTGCCATCGGAAGGAGACCGGCGAGGCGAGTTTCTAACCTCGCCAATGCGAGATGCGCATCCGCCGGCCCCTGCCTTGTGATGACGCCACGGCCAACATCGGGGTCGCCGCCAGGAAGGTGGAGGGGCCGCCGCCTCGCCGGGAAGGTGGGGTCCGCCACCGTGCAGGGAAGGTGGAGAGGCCACCGTCACCTCCAGGAAGGTGGAGGAGGCGCCGCCGTGACGGGAGGTGAACGGGCGGCCGCCGCAGCCGCCAGGATGGTCTAACACCACTAACCTGAATAGATGGCATTCGTCCTGTCGCGAATTCAGGAAGGGAAGAGGCGGCGTGAATTTTTGTTTCCTTTTTTTCGTCGATACGAACGGCGTTTGTTTCCTTTTTATACGGACGGGAGCGTTGAAGCCTCCGTGATGAGTTTCAAGTTTTCAATTATAATAGAGATATGTAAGTCTGTGACATTATTCTTATACCCTACTCAAAGTATAGTTGACATTCTAGTTTGTTTGCATGAGCTGGAGCTAGTTACTGATTGGCTAAAAATTAAATTAAATTAGCCAAGGTTAGTTAACAAAAAGTCAAAGACTTGCCTAAAAAACTAGCATATCTATTAGTCCTCCTGTTCGGATGCACTAGAGCTAATTTTTAGCTACCTAATGGTTAGCCTTTGTATCCCAACAGGCTCTGAGGATGACCAAATTTATAAAATGTATATCAATATATATGATACTGAAAATAAAGTGTCATTAAAGTCGTCATGAAATGTATTTCTATACTTGGTAGCTATTTTGTGCTGACCTTTTTTGCTATAATAAATTTTATCAAACTTAGGTGATTTGACTTGGCACAGGAGGATTCATTCTTATTTAAGATGCCACTCGGTTTAAAACATGTACCGCTCTTACTACGACGTGGTTGACTCTATCTTTAATTTGTTGATCTGATACTGATAGGGACATGTTTATAAACAATCCATACAAAATGTTAAGCATCACTTTCTTTAATTTGGGACCACACCACACCCCGTCAAAATTATTTGTCCACCTTGATTTCATTTATATAAGTGTAACGCTCGATTCAATATGGGTTAGGTCGTGATCCTTGACGACGGTATACTGGAATTCTGCTTCTTCATGCAGCCTCATGGACAACCATCCTGAACTCTGTTTTATCCATAGAGCTAAGAGTTAGCTGCTAATAATTAGCTTTTTGATCCAAACAAGTTAGCTAATTATTAGCTGATGAGTACCCGACTAATACTATTTTATTAGTTGGACGAAACGAACTAATATCAGCTAATATTAGCTATAAACTATTACTAGCTAACTAATACCAACTAATGGATCCAAATAGAACCCTAGTGTTAGGGTGGGATATTATCTCAGGGTGCAAATGGACGCTCTTAAAAATAAAAAAAGTGATTTTAGTTAAATTTTCATCATATCTGCATCCTATAATATAAGTCTATACCCTTATAAGGTCACGAGCAAGTACACCATCGTCTAATTTGCTCTAGCTTTATCACTATTTAGTATGGTGCTCCACTATTCACTCCTTGGCTCTCAATTTCTAAATTAAAGAAAGCTTTAAGAATACAAAAACCAAGGAAAAAGACTATCATGCCCTCGTTAAACAGTTGAGGTCGTCACTCCTGATTGGCTTAATCGCCGGCTGGCTCCTGTTTGGGCTCTATTTGGTTGGGCTTTTGTTGCAAACGACTTCATCTGAGAGCCATGAGGCCACATTAGGTGCTTCACCTTTATAGGGTGCGTTTGGCAAGCTAAATCGTTTCACATTTTGGGCTACAACCAGAGAATTAGTGCCAAACAGTAAAACACATGAAATGTTTCAGCCTAAAAACATTTCTGGATTCCTGTCTGTGGACGTGAAATGATCGGAGGGTGGTTTCACAGTGATTCTCTTCAGTTTCTTTTG